CATACATACGCGCGTACTTACATAAATTATTAAATTTCTCACATACATACTTACATACTTTACCTAGTTCTTTAACTTAACATATAAATTTATAGAATCGCTTATATGCTTTAGCTAACTAAAAAAATTATATAAATAAATACGAATACACGTTTGGAAATCGGTTATCTATTGTCAAATACAATTATTGTGTAAGACTTGTCATTTAGTTAAGTTTAATTGAGTTGAAAAGAGTTTTGAGTTATGAGTTAGAAAATGAACTATTTATCCGATATATATTCAGATATCTGCTATTTGAGTTTTGCTTCCTGTTTTAAGTAAAACCTACTTGTTTTCCTTAGTACATATAAACGAGTTATAAAACTAGTTCCTTTAGAGTGTTAAAAGTTCGAAAATGTTATGAAAACGTTGCTAGTTCTACATATAAACCCAATTTTCTAACTATATTTTTCTAATTTTTACTGAAGATGTTTCGAAGCCGCAATAAAGTTATAATAAATTATACCTTAAGTTGTTTAAATGATTTACGATTCAACAAAATCTTTATGAGTGAGATATAAATGTGGTTAACAAGGTTTCACTTTAGCTTTAGGTAGGTCCGTATTTGTAGAACCACAGCAAAGGTTTGCAACGAAACTTTTTTTTTTTACAAAACCGAGAAGATGCGAAAAATTCGTCAATGTGTGTTTTGTTTGAAAATTTTGTATAAGCGATATTTTCGAGGTGTATATTGTATGATTAAAAAAAGAACTTTTATGGGATATTCTATTAACTCTTTGAACTTTGAACTGAATACATTGGATCCAGCAAGAAAATGGGCTTACAGCAGAAAACACATGATTTTTTATAAAAGTTTTTCTTAATAGTAGTCTTGAAAGCCAAACTGGCCAACTCCCATATTAGCTCAGGCAATAAAGACAAAAAAATGCCAAACTTCAGAATACTTAAGAGAAAGCTGGATTTTTGCATCGATCTTTCATTTGTGGTTTTAAACAATACACCTAAACTAGAGCTGTTACGAGTTGCTAAAGATAGCGGAAGACGAGATTTTGCGAAAATCGTGTTAAAGCTCAATTTTTACAAAAAAATTTTCGCCAGCGAGTTTGTACAAAAAAACGTTAGGTAACTTTTTTCCTATGAATAACGGTTCTCAAAGAAATTTCATGCAAAAATATATAGAAGCTTAAACCGCAGGTTGTCGCAGTAGCTCCTATAACTCGCGTTCGGCTGGAACTTTTATAGCCTAAACTTTAAACTTTAGGAATAAAACGAATACCTCCTTGAATTTGTGTACATACATCTACGGGCTAATGGGCATTGGCAACGAACTATTACTATTTTTTTTTTTAAACTACCTTTAAAAAATCGAGTGGATTATTACTATGATCAGCTTTCTCTCTCGTTCATCGTACTATCTTTGCACAAGAATGGCATCCACTTTACGAGTCCTTGCTTTATTCGCGATTTTTTGCTCTACAAAAGTAAATATAGCATTTTCAATGTTACCGCTGAAGAGCAATATTTCGTATTCTAAACATATTTAGTGATGCTTTCCAGTGGGAAAGGTGGTAATGCATTACATGCGTGATAAATAATGTAATGTATTTCTAAAGAGGTCTAGATTCTATTTCTGTTTAATATGTAATCAGAATTCTAATGCATCCAAAAAGTCGGAAAAATTTCTTATTAAATCGCATTCATTTTTGCATTACTGGTAATGCCCAACTTTTCCTACGACATCGACGTGGGCAAAAAAGTAATGCATTTTCGAATGTGAAAACGGCTGTTTTACCGATAATTTTTTCGATTACTATACATTACTTTTCCCGCTGAGTTGTGGAGCGTTTGATGGCATTGGAAATGCTTGTTTTTTTCGTAGCTGGGGCCCAGTCTCGTGTATAAATCAACTTTTCGTAAGAAAACTTAAATGCTGCTTTGAAATATGCTAAAATATCGTTGGTGAACCTAAGCCATGGATGGTATCGATAACACCATCGATGGTTTGCCAACCCTAGTATAGACGTAAACAAAATAAAATAAAATAAATTGTTGAAGAATTTTAGGCCCGCCTTTTCTTTTTGTATCTTTTATTTTCGTTACACAGTATAAAGTGCAGTCGGTGACTAAATATTGTGTAGAAAATAAAAACAAAAATCTATATTAAGTATCCATGGTCTGCTTGCTTTTACGTCGTCCAAAAATGGTTGATGTTTCTTGGTTGTTCTAAGGCATATTAAATAGGTAGTAGCAGAAGAGCAGTTGATTTGATTTTTTTCACATTATTTGGTCTCTAAACTGTCACATAATAATTTTTTTTTAGAAAAATTCTTAAATGGCAAAAGGCATTTGCATGCGAATCTTCAAAGAAGAGTGTTCGAAAGCAACCTTTGGAACGTTTGCTTAACCCAAGAGCTCAAAGGCTGATTACTAGGTCCTCTATTGATGCTTCTGGAGCGAAAAAAAAGTTACAAAGAGCCAAGTAGTTTATATTTCACATCGCTCACTATNGAAGAGTGTTCGAAAGCAACCTTTGGAACGTTTGCTTAACCCAAGAGCTCAAAGGCTGATTACTAGGTCCTGTATAGATGCTTCTGGAGCGAAAAAAAGTTACAAAGAGCCAAGTAGTTTATATTTCACATCGCTCACTATGTTAATAAAAAAAAAGTAGAATTGTTTTGATAAATTACACACCAGAAGCAACAACAAAATACGCGTAAATGTTGTTGTTGCTGTAATGCTATTATCTGTTTGACATGTCTTGGGTTGTTCGAAAACTGAATAAAGGTTTAATTTCAGTAAACCATTTCAAGTAGCATTTATCATTCCTNTTAGGGGGGCCCAGTCTCGTGTATAAATCAACTTTTCGTAAGAAAACTTAAATGCTGCTTTGGAATATGCTAAAATATCGTTGGTAAACCTAAGCCATGGATGGTATCGATAACACCATCGATGGTTTGCCAACCCTAGTATAGACGTAAACAAAATAAAATAAAATAAATTGTTGAAGAATTTTAGGCCCGCCTTTTCTTTTTGTATCTTTTATTTTCGTTACACAGTATAAAGTGCAGTCGGTGACTAAATATTGTGTAGAAAATAAAAACAAAAATCTATATTAAGTATCCATGGTCTGCTTGCTTTTACGTCGTCCAAAAATGGTTGATGTTTCTTGGTTGTTCTAAGGCATATTAAATAGGTAGTAGCAGAAGAGCAGTTGATTTGATTTTTTTCACATTATTTGGTCTCTAAACTGTCACATAATAATTTTTTTTTAGAAAAATTCTTAAATGGCAAAAGGCATTTGCATGCGAATCTTCAAAGAAGAGTGTTCGAAAGCAACCTTTGGAACGTTTGCTTAACCCAAGAGCTCAAAGGCTGATTACTAGGTCCTGTATAGATGCTTCTGGAGCGAAAAAAAGTTACAAAGAGCCAAGTAGTTTATATTTCACATCGCTCACTATGTTAATAAAAAAAAAGTAGAATTGTTTTGATAAATTACACACCAGAAGCAACAACAAAATACGCGTAAATGTTGTTGTTGCTGTAATGCTATTATCTGTTTGACATGTCTTGGGTTGTTCGAAAACTGAATAAAGGTTTAATTTCAGTAAACCATTTCAAGTAGCATTTATCATTCCTAAAGTATGTTAAATTTATTACTTTATCCGAATGTTAAATCCGATTTTAAGCAAGGAAAAGGTTTTCGAGATAGCATAATAAGAGTTTGGAAGCAACGGTTTTTCTTTTAGACGTTGGGTGATTTTCTTTTTGCTTTGTAAGCCTTTGCATTGCGTTTGTCCAAGTGTTCTGAGAGGAATAAAGTTTTATAAATTACGAAGTTAGNGGTTAAATTCGATTTTAAGCAAGGAAAAGGTTTTCGAGATAGCATAATAAGAGTTTGGAAGCAACGGTTTTTCTTTTAGACGTTGGGTAATTTTCTTTTTGCTTTGTAAGCCTTTGCATTGCGTTTGTCCAACTGTTCTGAGAGGAATAAAGTTTTATAAATTACGAAGTTAGTCACCATTTCTATAGTCAGATGACCCTACTAGAAAAGGAGTTTTGGACCGACCCATTCTTCATACCCTCAAATAAACACCAATACACATAAAAAGAGCTGTAAAAATTCCCCTGTAATTTTAAGGCAGCAAAACATATACATACCTGTGTAGAATGTCATTAAATGTTCATAATTTTTAACAGGGCTTTGAACCGAACCGCGTTTTGAACCAAACCGTCGCAGTTTTTCGGGCTAAGACGCACACGAAGTAAAAGCTTTTTTTTGTCGTCACCGAGTTCATAAAGAGCTTTTACTCTATGCGCGTCCAAATTCTGGAATTTCGTTTTGAATAGAAAGCCGCCGGGCTAATTTTTGATGCATTCCTCTGCAGACGAATCTTTTGTGCGACCTATCGTTCGAGATGCATAATAAGAATGTTAGTTTAGTTAGCAGATACGCAGCAGTAAATGTCTAAAAGTGCGAGGAAAGGAATTTCTGTAATTTGATCAATTGTATATAAACCTTTCAATTTCTTAGCGTAACACGAAAACACTTGTCACAGAAATCTTGTTAACCGCATCTGATATTCTTAAAACTCAAAATAAAAGATTCAATGTAAAACTTAATACTATCCGTTCAATTATTCAGTCCGCATTGTATTATTGAATTAAGAGAAATTAAGTGGAACCCATCTTTGAGTTTTGTTGCAAAGTTCCTGTAATTATCCAATACATGTTTCAAAAAACTTTTGGTTAGTTTGTATTCCATTTTAAATTCCGCGTTCCAAGTTAATCAACGAATATTTTATCCAGTTCCACCATCTACTGTTCAACTATATCTATCGCTCTCCACTTCTCAAACCTACCTCAAATTCTGTCTCTTTGTCCACTAATCCCTTCTCATCTCACCTTTGAGATATGAGATAATTAAACTCCTCTCGTAGTTAAATACGGTCCTAAAATCCATTATTATTCATTAATCTGTTGAATTGTGTGCACATTTCCAGGGGATGATCGGTCGCGGTGGTAATGTCGGTATGCAACAGCAACTTCAACAACAACCATATGGTCAGCAACAGACGCAACAGCAACAACAACAGCAGCAACAACAAATGGGTATGGGTCAGATGGGGCAACAACAGCAGGGCATGATGGGTCAACAACAGCCGATGGGTGGACAAATGGGCCAAATGGGTGCCATGGGTCAGATGGGACAGATGACGCCACAACAACAGCAACAGCAACAGCAACAGCAACAACAGCAGCAACAACAACAACAACAGCANAGGACAAATGGGCCAAATGGGTGCCATGGGTCAGATGGGACAGATGACGCCACAACAACAGCAACAGCAACAGCAACAACAGCAGCAACAACAACAACAACAGCAGCAGCAACAACAACAGCAAATGGGTATGAGCGGACAAATGGGGCAGATGGGTCAAATGGGCCAAATGGGTGCTATGGGCCAGCAACAACCGCAGCAGCCCGGCATGATGGGCCAACAGCAAATGGGTATGGGCGGTCCGATGAGCGGTATGATGGGGCAGCAGCAGCAACCGCAACAGCCGCCCGTAACGACGCAGTCCTCTGGCGGTTTATTCTCCGGGGCGACTAGCCTACTCTCAGGTGCTACTTCGGCTGCCACCGGTGGTCTATTTGGTTCGAAACAACCACCGAAACAAGATCCAATGCAACCACCAGTCGGTGCGCAGCCAATGCAGCCAGGCCAACAGCAACCGGGCCAACCGCAGCCGGGTCAACCGCCGCAAGGGCAACAGCCACCGCCGCAGGGTCAGGGACCCGGGGCGGGGCTGTTGGGCGGACTGAAGGGCATTGCAGCGGCGGCGCCAGGCGGCGATGTACTGTCAAAAGGCAAAGATCTCTTCGGCAAATTCGGATTCGGCTTCGGCAAATAACCCTGGTCATTTTGTAGGAACTTTCTATTTGTATTGTATTTAAATTTGTATTTATTATTATTACTAATATTAACTAAAAGACAAAAACCAAAACGACAACAACAAAAATCACTATTATTAACGCTAAAATATTACAATAATAGTACATATTATAAATATGATAATAAATATGATTATTATAAATCAAATCAAGCATACGATGGCAATATTGAGTATGCTAAACTAACGGTACTTATATTTTTTATTACATAATAACCAATGGAGAATCGCAAGATGGTGAATAACGGCGAACAAAAAATTAATATAAATATTTAATATTTTTTTTTTTTTGTTGAGTAGCGCTAAAGCGGCGAATATACATATACATCGCTTAGATGAACGGTGGGCTAACGAGGGAGATGTTAAATAGAGGCGGCGAAGTATCTATAAGTGTTTGGGGGGAGAATGGACGCTTGTATCAGAAAGCGAGTCCCATAACTAAGTAAATTTAAAAATTAAAAAAAAAAAAGAATCAACCCGAACACTAAGAGAAACAAAACCTATAAAATTNGTTGAGTAGCGCTAAAGCGGCGAATATACATATACATCGCTTAGATGAACGGTGGGCTAACGAGGGAGGGCGTAAGTGTATATTGACACGGTGGTGCATGTTAAATAGAGGCGGCGAAGTATCTATAAGTGTTTGGGGGGAGAATGGACGCTTGTATCAGAAAGCGAGTCCCATAACTAAGTAAATTTAAAAGTTAAAAAAAAAGAATCAACCCGAACACTAAGAGAAACAAAACCTATAAAATTGTTGTAAAAACTAAAATGTAAGTACACAGTTATACACAGCGGTACACGTACTTACAACGTACATGACAACTAACAAATTAAAGCACATACACATATGCATACATACATACACGTTAATACGTATATACATACCGAATGACCGTCACGTCTGTGACAACAAAAATGCAATAATATTCGATTAAAAATAAAGAAATTAAGGAAAATTAAACACAAATCGTAATAATTAAAATTACCTAGAACACATTCAACTAAGATATTTCAATTCTTCGTGCGTACTTATGTACATTTACTTACTGACATACTATACACTTATACATACATACATATGTACGTACATTTTACATATATAATATACATACGTACGCATATAGATATGGACACATACATACATACATACATAATTCCATACAAAAGCTAAATAACAAAGAAAACAAATTAGTAAAGTAATACATAAATATAAATATTATGATAAATAAAAATTATTAATATTACAAATTAAAATGAAGTATATATTATATATAAATACATGAATATATTTACAAGAAAAAAAATTATTTGTTACGCACATTGTTAAATTTGCTACTGTTGCTGACCAGTTTATAAATAAAACTAAATGAATAAAAAAAATGAAAAGTGAAATATGCATAAAAACAACAAAAATGTATGCAAGAAATGAGACAAAGGCGTTGAAAACGCATAAAAAACATAAAATAAAAAAGAGGAAATTGGAAACTGAAAAAATATCTACATATTATATATTCTGTGAGTGTATGAAAAACAAATTATTAAAAACAAAATAATAAGCTCATAGTAAAAAAATACATACACACATCCATGGTACATACGTCATAACCTTAGTACATGCATTACTTTGAAGAAAAAAGAATCAAAACAGAAAAACTACAAAAAAAAAACATAAAATTGGCAAATAAAGTCCAAAACACTTGTAAACAACCACTATCCCTAAATTTTCCAAGGCAAGAAAGAAGAGAAGAAAAATGTTATTGACTTCATTATTGCAAAATGATACATTTACATGCATATATACAAACGTACACATACGAGTATAGTAAATACTTATAAAAGTGAGTGGAATGGTATAGGAAGAAATCTGCTTTAAAAGTAACATTTAAACTTGAATGCTAATAATTTACACTAAAACTTATATAAATACAAAAAAAATTTAGTTAATGCTATTTCCAATTGATTATAAATTAAAACAAAAAAATTAAACAATCTTATCTACATAACTACAAAAATTTAATATACACAAGAATATTTCTAAAACTTGCAAATGAATACAAAAATAAAATTACGCTTTTTGTTAGAAATCTGGGAGGAAAAACTAAGAATTTCTGCTTTTTTTTTATTAGTTTAAGTAGAATTTTGTACCTTATTGTTGGCTAAGATTGCTCTTTTGGTTCTTTAATCATTCTACAATTTTAACACTTCACTTTTGCAGGGAAAGCTAACATTTCCAAACATCGTATAAAAGCTTTCTTGAACCTGAAAATTGTTCCTAGCTAATGAAAAAAAATCTTTAATTCTTTAATAAAATTTTCCTATAATTTTCGTTTTCCAAGCATTATTTAGTACCTTGATAAGCTTATTAAGTATTATTGTAACTCAGAAATGTTTTGGAGAACTCCGAGTAGATATAAAATAAAAATAAAATAACCAAAAAAATAAAGCAAATTATTTTTTTTTACGGACAGGTGGTTTAAAGTACCTAATACAACATTAATTAGAACACAGTGGTCTGGGAGCGGCAAAAACACCAATTTTTCAGGCAGTAAATAAGGAAAATTGACTATAATTTGGATGCGAAGAATTATTCACCAACATGTTTGAAAATACTGTTTTTGATTCGTTTTATAACCCTGTAAAGAGTCATGAAAAAATGCCTATTCTAACGACAATCATTTCCCACTTTGTGTATTTCATCGAGTTCGAGACCGAGAACAAAAGTATGATGGAAACTAAATGTCCTTCTCGTAGTCTTGTTCCCAAGAAGGGTACCGAATGGGAACAAAATCTTCGGAAGTTTGTGCTAGAGAACGAAAGTGAGTCTAAGGACCGTTCCCACGAATAACAATTTGGGAACTAAAGTCTCATGATAGAGAATGAAACGGAAAAAGAACTTTTCTCATAGCGTTGCATTAGATTGAAATTGTTTGAATATTTATTAAAATTTATCAAACAGAACTGAAAGATAATTATGAACATTGAGTAAACGAAAGACTTAAGACACGAACTTTTCTTGCACGGAAAATTAAAAATTGTTCAATAAATGGATTTTTTGTCGCAACCAAGCGCAAAACAACGCGTGCAAAAAACTGCACTAAGACTACAGGTCGCCCATTATACTTTTTTCAGTCCTTTTTAATATGTTTTAAATCTGCACGATTTACGAATAAACCTAAGCTCAGATGTTCGTCTCTCAACAAATCGCGTTCAAATGCCTTAGGCTGTCCGCACCACGGGTCGTATGGCTTAAGACGAGCATTAGATGCTACATACGAAAGTTGTATGTTTTGATGTCGCACACGTGCATTTAAATGGAGGGCTGCATACGAGTCGTCAGCTTCACGAATTCGTCAAAGCAAGTTAGCTGCAAATCGCTTGGCATACACTGTACTTATGCACCATAAACATTGAACATTGAAATTAATTTTTTAAATGATTTTTCGAAATAATCGTATTTTTTGAATTTTAAAATCCCATAAACAAATCCTGACGTCAGAGTGAAAAACTAAGATCGCAGTTTTACTATAATTTACCCATAATGTCGCGAATATATTTGTTTATTTTTGTGTGTAAAATTTACTGTCGTACGGTGTTATAAACCAATCGAAAGCATATGGCCTATAAAATGTGTTAAACAGATGAGTGACTATTACCATTATTACTTACCTGTTCATATCTGCCAACCCGATAGGTAGGCCAGGAATAAAACAGACAACCCAACGTTAAGTTTTTGCATGTGCAAGCATATCTTGTAACTTGCAACTCAAACTGCATTTGCAATACTTGCCCAATGCTTTCTTGGAATCATTCAAATCTGCCAAAATCCAGTCTTTTAGCTCTGGATGTTTAATCCACTCTCCGCGGACTTTTTTCTTGTGTGTTTTTTGCATTGCGGAAGTGTTTATATGCAGTGCTGAAAACACGAAAAGGGTTAAACGTTAAAAAGTTAGGGATTGCAGGTAACGTTTCAGTGTCCTATCGATTTTTTGCATTACAAAATGGAAATGTAATAATATGTTTACATACCGTGATTTTAGAGGCAACATTGAGGCGAAATTGGTGTAAACCCCCTATAAAGAATTGCGATCATTGTGAATAAACTCGCTAAAAACTAGCTAAGATCTTCTAAATAAACGCTAAAAATCCCGCTACTTACCGAATTTTAACTTTTCCCGCTAAGTACACGAAAAAACCGTAAAGAACTAGTGGAAAAATTCTAAAATGGCAACACTGGTTGGTAGCTAGGCGTACGGTCGCTTAGAAAAGAGGAGGAAGAAGAAGCTTGTTTACCATTTTCCGTGTGCGTGCATGCATTTCATAAAAACGATTAGATAAAACAATAAAATTCGTGCAAATAATTGAGAAATAACTGAAAATGAATTAAAACAATTACAATTTTTCATCACTTGCCATTTGTGCGCCTAATACTTTGACGCTTTGAAGTTGCTTCGTGTGCAGATCTTGAGGCATAGAGGAATCGTCGCGGCATAAAAAATGTAATACGCGTTGAAAGCTATACGACCCGTGTGCAGACTACCTTATACCTAACTTTTGCAAAGGCAGGGAGATAGCAGAAAAAGCGTAAATGAAGTTGTCATGTACGCCTATCACCGTCGGGTGTATGTGTCATGTGACTAGTCAGTAGTCAAACCAGTTGCCTGCAGTCCCGTCTGCCCAATGAGAGCAAATAAATGGATAGTTCACGGTAATTATAAATTTGAAAGTTGCAATGATCCAGCTTTCCTCTCGCATGGAATTAATAATCATGGTCAACACTCCGACGCCCCTCTCATTCTTAATATTAAGTTCTCAAAACTTTTGTTCTCTAGCAGAACATCCTTCAGAAACGTTCTCGATACTTAAGTTCTCATTTCTTTCGAGTCGGAAACGTTCCCGAAATTTTTTTCTCATTGTTGAAGTAGTTATCTGGTTCTTTTTGGAGAATGTTACCCAGAGTTTTGTACGCATTTTGTTCTGTACGGAAACGTTCCCTAACTTTTTCTTCTCATTTTGTTTCCGTTCATAATACTTTTGTTCTTTTGCAAGAATGCTCTTGACAATCAATTTTTTTGCCATTCAGATCTAAACCTAAACCAGAGCTCGTTCTCGGTTCCTGGTGGAAAGTAAACGTTCATTAAACCCTGGGTAAACCACTGAACGAAGTTCCAACCGCCAGAAACTGCTGGCATTGTTCGCCAATCTATGCGATTTATCATATTTTTTCGTGTTTCGCGCTGTGGCTTGAGTTCTGAGCCAAGGATGGAGCCGTTGGCCACTCCCGAGGTTACTTTCAAATGTCATCAGCTTTAAGG